CAGGGGTGCACAGAGAGATGAGGTGCCTCCCCTTTGGCACTGACCACGTAAACCCCAGGCAGCAAGTGACTGCACACTCCCCACAGTCCTGGAGAAGCCCGGAGCCTGCCCACAGTGCCTTCTCCCACACCTGTGGCTCCCTGTCCTGGGCCAGGCCTGGGAGTGGGCAGGAGGACAGACCCACTCCAGGCTGCTCACACCGAACGTGACTGTCCATAGCAGCCTTCCCCTGGGGGCTCAGTGGCCACTTCGGCATTGCTTCAGGTTGCAGGGACTTCTCTTTTAAGAAGACTTTGATCAAGAGGAGTGCTTCTGCAGGCCCTCGCAGAGTGACAGGTCTGTCCTCTGAGGGGCTAGAAGGAGGTGACCAACACGGGAACCCCAGTGTGAGTCCGAGGGGTCAGCTGTGTAGAGAGAGCAGGGGTTTGGAACATGTGTGTGCACACATGCTCATGTTTACTGCATGTGTTCACAAGGATGTTTGTCTGTGCCCACCAGTGATACATCTGGTCTTTGCTGGGTCTGGATAATGGATGTGTGTGTTCGTGTGAGTGCAGACATCTCTGAGGACCGGCCATCGCCAAGGCGCTGCATCGCTCAGTGTTTGGGTGCATTTGTGCAGGTGGGATGCTAGGGTTAGTGAAATTCTGGGGGCCAGAGTCAAACCAGCCTCGGGGGAAAGACCCTCTCCTTTACTCCATCCTCTCCAAAGAGAGCCAAGGGAGCTCCTGAGAAGGGCAGAGCTAGAAAAGCTCTGAATAAATGTTTCTAAACTTTGTAGCACTGACAGTACCATTAACCTAACCTCTGAAATCACTCTGGAGTCCCTGTGTCTAACGTTTAGTCACTAAATAATCAGCACTGATGGCTCGTCTTCATATTACTTAGACCTGACTCACATGTATCACCATGACAACATCCCCCATCTTGCCTCTGCTTAAGTATTGTTTAATACTGAAGTTTCGTTTAATTACTTTACTAAGGGCAGATACTTACAAAATAGCTTTTTAAAAGGCAAAAAAAAAAAAACACGTATCTTTAAGTAAAACTGTCTCTTTTCCAAAGACAGATGTGCATCAATACAAAGAATGGTCTAATCTGGCATCTGTTTATTTCTGGAAGGAACCTTGATTTTGCTAATACATTTCTACGCATCAGAGCAAAAGAAAAAAAAAGCCATCCATAAAAAGACAGTTACAGAGATGCAATCAAGCACTGATAGCAGCATTCAGACACACCTCAGAAAACCTTCAGGAGAAGAAGAATTGCAGGTTTAGTTTTATGTAATTTCATAAATCAATTTTTAAAGTAATTTCCTTACATCCAGTGAGGTAACTTTGATTTCTGTAGCCAGTATTCATGCTCCAGAAAATAATATGCACTTTTTTCCTATAATTATATGATGCCTATTGTTTCAGCCCAGAGCCATTATTTTATTTAGTACAGAGTCAGGTTCTCCCCAGAGCCTAACTCACAGGCTGGTAATGAGTTAGGTGCTCAAAGTAGAGCCATAACGCATCCGGCAACCCACACACCTCCACACCTGAGCGATCACCCAAGGGATATGCCTCCGCTCCCAGGAGCAGTGAGGAAAAACAGAGAGAGGTTAAGCAACTCTGTTAGGGGCTCCCAGAAGCCTTCAGCCGGGTCTGGGACTACACGCATGGGCTCTGCCTGCTGCACTGAGTTGAGCCCTCCCAGTGTGCCCAGGCCTGAGGATGCAGCATGGAGAAAGGGGGCAGGGTGGGAAGGCAGGGACAAGACTTGAGACCAGCTCTCTGCCTCCCCGCCAGCCACTTGCTTTGGACCCTGGGTGATTGGTAACATTTGGGGGCACAGGAAGGCAGGAGGTGGGCACCTCCATTGTCAAACCCAAAGAACGGGAACCAGGGCACAGCCCCTGCAGAGAGCCTAGCTCAGCGCCTTGTACAGTCTGCTCAGCAAATATCTACTGAGGGCCTACTCTGTGTCAGGCCCCGCTAGGCACTGGGGACACAGCAGTGAGCACCAGGCACGAGGGTGGAGCTCACATTCTAGTTGGGGAGACACGTGGCAAACAGTATGCTAAATGGGAGTAAGTGCGTGCCAGGTGCTCCATGGGGGTTACAGATAGGGCTGGCAGATAACATATGAGTGGACTTGAAGGAGGTAGAGCAAGCTAGACTGATAGTCCTGGGGTAGTGGGACAACGAGAAAGTTCCTGAGGGGGCAGAATGCCAGGCATGTTGGAGCAACAGCAAGGGGCCACAGTGCTGGAGAGGAATGAGCAAGGGAGAGTGGAAGGAGACGGGGCGGAGAGGGGACGGCAGGTCATCCCTGCAGACCCTCTAGGGCTGGGACTCCGAGTGAGGGGGGCATGGTCTGGCTGTGGCATAGAGGGGCAGAGGCGGAGGACCGTGCGTCTGGCCCACGGCAGTAGCAGTGGAGGTGGTGAGAGAAGGTCAGACTCAGAATATATTGCGCAGGAGAGCTCTACTTGCTCACCCCATGGAGACTGCGCATTTGTTTTGCTTTATGGTTTTCAGGGTTTTTTCTGAGGCTTAAACAAAGCGACGTATGTCAAGATTCCCAGCACACAGTTAGCTCGTGGAGACTGTAAGCTGGTGTTATTACTGGGCACCACTCTGCAGTTGATCTGTGGGAACCTCAGCCTGGGGGCTCTTCTCAGCCTGGGGGCTCTTCTCAGTCTGGGGTCCCATGACCACCCAACCCCACTGAGGTGGCGAGAAGAGCAGGGGGTGCCAGAACCTGAGACTGACTACAAGGGCCCTCCTGTGAGGAAGGGCTGTGGGTATGAAGGCTGAAGAAGGCAGCACAGAGGGAAATGCCAGGGGATCCCCAGCACCAAACCCCTTACAAACAGCTCTGTTGCCCTTTGGGATGGAGTCTGTCCAGGAATCAACCAAGCGAGGTATTGAGGTTCCCCAAGGTGGGACCGCACCCAGCTCCCCAGCCCTCTTTCGAGATGCCATTCCACCACTGAGACTCCAAGCAAAATGTATTTTCCTGCAGATTTAGGTTTTGACACAGGAAACAGCTTAGATTAGAAATATGTCAGCCCCAGAACTGACTAACCATTAACTTTTCATAAGCAACTCAGGTATGAACCCTTTATGTCTCTGTTATGGCACAGGACAAATAAGCTATCTGGTATTTTATTTTTATTAGGGAAGCTTCCACTGCGTGATAGGAATGGGGCTTTTTTACAGCAGAGCAATGTTTCAGAGAAAACTCTAAGGGTTTCTTACAGCAGCCTTCTCCAGTATTTCACTCCACTGGGAGCACTTCTGAGTATTTTTTTCCTTGATACTGAAAGCAGGCTGCATGCATCCACTCTCCACCTTCCAACCTGTGCCTTAACCCAAACCTCTCTTGGGCCTGCACCCTTCATTGGGTTAATTAGCCAGAAAGCATCTTTAAAGGACTCATGATGGTTGTGGCCGGGCCCTTGGACAATCCTTGTGCCACACTGACTGGTGGCCTTCCGTCCCTCCTGCCACGAGATTGCTTCTGTGGAAAAAGGAAGCTCAGGAAGGACAGGGAGGATGACGGGAGGGATGGTTTGGTGTTGTCTCCAGGGGGTCAAGAGGAGTTTTGCAACTTCTGTTAATAGTAAGAAAAGTAGCAGCCCCCATGTATGTCACACTTCCCACACTGGAAAATGTACTCGTGGGCATTCTCTTGCCAGATCTCCCCATCACCCCAGGAGGCAGATAGGGCATATAAATTGTCCACAACTTACAGGTGGGGAAGCCAGTGCCCAGAGGGATGAGGGAACACTCAGTGCCGGAGTTCAAGCTAAAACCCGAGTATCTTGAGTGCCAGCACTGGGCTTCCCCCATCACTCCTCACATCTAGTACTGCCCAGCCCTGTTTCTCACCAGGGAGCCAGGACCTCCTCTGTCCCATCAGCTCTGAGCACCACACCTCGGAGATGTTTGGTAGCTAAAGCCAAACGTGATGAAAGGTCTCCCTGAAACACCGGTAATTCCATTCCCCAGCATGTCTGCAGTTGGTGCCTGGACAGGGCCAGCATTGTGCATTGTTCTGCAGGAGACAAGGCAGCTGGCTGGAAAGGCCCTGGGGGAGTGCTGTGTGCCCAGCGCTCACCAGGGGACTCCGACCAGCTCAAAGCCCCCTCCTGCCCATCCCTCCCCACGTGCTGGCCAAATAGGATCCCACTCTGTGAGGCTGCAGAGGTCACAGGGACAAGGCTTACTGAGCCATTTCTCATGGAACCCCTGGCATCAGCCCCTCCTGCTCTCTAGTACATCCCTGCCCTTGTCTTTTGTTTGCCCTCATTTTCCTCAGAGTTCAATTTCCCTTCTCTTAGGTTACCCAGATCTCTGTAAGCTGCCTGAAATTATTTGGAGATGGAGGTGAGATCTAAACAAGTGGTAGGCAAACTATAGCCCATGGACCAAAGGCAGCCCACCACATTTTTTTTTTAAATAAAATTTCATTGGAACATAGTGATACTCATTAATTTAGGCATTGGTACGGCTATTTTCATGCTACAAGGCAGGGCTGAGTAGTTGACAGAAACCCTATGGCCCAGAAAGCCAAAAACGTTTGCTATCTGGCCCTTTAAGAAAAAGATGGCTGACCCTAAAGGAGGCCGCCCTCCAGAGCTTCTCGACAGGTGGACAAGAGCCCAGGAAACCAGCCAAGCAGCAGCACAGGAGGGGCAGGTGAGCCCAGTTGTAGAAATGGAGAGGGAGGGTGCTGGGGAAGGTGTTCAAGCCAGACCTCACAGAGAAGGTGAACAAGATCTTAAAAGGTTGTATAGGGTCTGGGCAAGCAACACGGAAGAGACATGGAGGTCCTGGTGCCCAGCCCTGCAGGGAGCTGTGGCTGAGTAAGGGGGCCAGGCAGAAAGGAAGTCTCTCGCAGCTACAGGGTTTCTGTTTTCCTGCAAAACCGTTTTCCTGCAAAACTGGCTGTGCTTCCCAGGCTACTCAACAGAGAAGCCAATCTTGTTGTCTTCTTTGCCCAAGCAGGACTTTGGAGAGGACGACTCCCTCTACATCACCAAGGTGACCACCATCCACATGGGCAATTACACCTGCCATGCCTCTGGCTACGAGCAGCTGTTCCAGACCCACGTCCTGCAGGTGAATGGTTAGTAAATGGCTCCATGCATGTTGTCCCCCCAAAGTGTTCCCAAACGCTGCTCAGAACAACCCTCCTCCCCTCATGCATTCTGTCTTCTTAAAGAAATACCTGACCCCAAAATGTCCCATCTTTCCTGTAAGTAAAGAGGGGCTGGGGAGGGGGTGGGCAGGCAGGGGCAGAGTCTGCCAACTCATTTCCTGGTCTGGCTTTCCCCAAAGCCTCCTCTGATGAAGTGAGTCAAGGTGGGAGGGGGTGAGTCACTTAGGCAGGTCGCACCCAGCATCTCCAGCAGGCCCCTGTAGAATGTGGAGTGTGCCCTGTAGGTGATGTTACCAAACGGAACTTGGGTCCACCCGCCTGCTCAAGGTAAAGCCAGTCTACTGACACTGGATTGTGGTGAAGCAAAGTGCAGCGTTTACTGGAGGGTGCCAAACAAGGAGTCCAGGCAGCTAGTGCTCAAAAGGACCCAACTCCCAAAGGCTTTCAGGGAGAGGTTTTCAAAGACAGGGGGTTGGGAAGCGGGGTGCTGTGGGGCACGTGATAAGCTCGTGGACATTCTTTTGATTGGTTGGTGGTGAGGTAATCAGGAGTCAACACTGTCAACCTTCTGATTCCAACCGGTCTGGGTTCTACGTACTTGTGGACAGCAGAGAGTTAACGTCTTCCACCTGGTGGGGGTTTCAGTATCTGCAAAAGAGCTCAAAGGACATGGCTCAGAATGTTATCTATAGCCCTTGAGGAGGAACTGAAGGTCCTTGACTTTGTTTAATGACTAAACTATTATTATTTTGTCTTGCTTAACTGTTTTCCTTTCTGCATTTTCTCACTTGTCTGCTTAAATGTATTCTTTGGCACTCAGGGCAGGCCCGGGAGTCTAAAGGTTTTCTATAGACAAGAGGCAGGTGGAGGACATGGGGGCTGGGGAGGGAGTCTGTCCCGGGAAGGCCCCATAGGGTCCTGCTCGGTTACAGTGACATGGAGATGGCAAGCTGTTGTGGTCTTGATCCAGTGAGAAGCAGACACTGTCTAGAACACGCCACTCCTCCTCCAGGTATTGTGGACCCAAGTCACTTATCCAGTTGGGAGGCCTTACTTTCTGCAAAAGGGTCTGCTTCCCACCTTCCTCCCCCAGAGGCTTAACGAGCCTCAGCTTGGGCCCAGCCAAGCAGAACCTCAGCAGGCTGCGCAGGTTTTCTTTGCTTCTCACAGGCGCCTGTGTTGCCAGGACTCCCAGAAACTGAGAAGAATTAACCCCTGCTGCTGACCACATCAACAATTACAATAGTTTTCTGAGACTTTCTCTGTCCAGTCCCTGGGCTAACACATCACATGGACTCTCCCAATCAGTATATTCTAACCCACTTTATGGATGAGTCTCTAGGTAAGGTCACTTTCCTGGGGTCACACCACTGGTAGGTGTCATTCTAGACCCAGGGCTTGTGCTCTGCCCTCTGTCACACGGTTGGCCACTCCAGCCATCACAACAAACAAGCCATCACAGTGCCATGGCAGAGCAGCACTCCAGGGAAATCAGACGTGTCCAGCCACGCCCAGCTGGGCATCACTGCTTTCACCAAGCAGGCCTGAGCAGGGCGTCAGTGCACCAGAGGATAATGTGAAAGCTCCAAGTCAGCCCCAGATCCTTTGTGCCAGCTGTGTCCAGGGCTTCTGCTCTGATAAAGTATACACGGTGTTGAGAATAGTTACATCATGCGGTTCAATGTCACTTACCTCTGGGATCCTGGGTGACAAGCCATTTAAGGACAACAGAGTGAGCTCAGCTTGCCTCTACATTTGTCCTACAGGATGTTTTAGGGATTTTTGTGTTCATATGTGCCGAAGCCATATTTTATTTCCCTTGAGCTGGGACATATTTAATCCTTTGGGGCTTTGTGGCTGTGTTTGTTGGCTTGAGTCAGGGTGTACAATGAAGTTTCTGGATTTCATCAGAAATCACCCAGGGGTTCCCAGTTATAACACCCCCTGGGTGAGTCATCCCAGCCTGCCATTCAGAGGCCAGTCTGGTGTGCAGCAGGCGGGCAGTGTCTGGGCCGCTCCCTGAGCAGCGCTGCTCCAGGGGCGGGGCGTGCACTCTGCAGTGTGAAGGGGGCTTTATCATCTATAGCTGGAAAGTGGTGCCCAGCATTGTACAGTGTTGGTGAATGTGTGGTTGCACAACTCCACACAGTTTGGCCCAGGTCCCTCAGGTCCTCAGACCAGCCTGAAAAAGGGAAATCACCCAGGATTCCCAGATCCTCCATCCAGCCCTTCGCATCCTGCCCCCATCTCATAAGAACCGAGGGTACAAGGAGAGGGCTTGAGCCTGGTCCCCTTCATTTCCTCCAGAACAAATCTGTGGGGAAGGGAGGGGATCCACCAGCCCAGGAACCAGAGTAACTCATGAGTGAGAGCCTGTCCTCGCCTCAGGTGCCTGCAGGAGACTCTGTGGTCTTAAACACCTTTAATACATGAATGGCAGGTCCACGGTGCTGGGAGGGCCCTTCTGCCTCCTATTCCCCCAGAATTCTGAGACAGAGCTCATGATGGGAATGAGCCACTTCCTCCCTCCCGGTGCTGAATCCGGGAGCAAGGCCCAGGCCCACGGACACCATGTGTTGCTGGGCTGAAAGTAGAGACTAGGCTGCTTCCTGTTGCTACCCGGGTGGGGAGCGGACTCTGCAGCTGGCACTGGAGAGTTCTGTTCGAGCCTCCCCAGGCACTCCACTCCTACCCACCCCCCAGCCCAGCGATTGCTAAAGAGGCTGCTTAGGGCTAGGGGAGTCTAAATAGCAAAACCTCCCCACTGAGATCCAGAGAGAGGCCACCTGAGATCCGTTTCCTACTTGCTGAGAGATTTAAGGCTTCTCTTCCAGCCGAAGCACTAGAGTCAGCGGCAGCATGCTGGGACCTCTGTACTTTGTGGTGGGCTTTTCCACCTCATTCCATGGCTTACTTAGCTCAGTTCCATGACGGCTGGGCTGGGCCATTAGGGTGGACCTCACTCCGGGAGCCCACAAGGTCCCTGGGCTGGGCTGACCCCCAGCCACTTGGGGGTGGCACTTGGTTCCATTAAGCAGCTCCCTCATGGGAGCACCGTACTAAGGTAGATCTGGTGTTGCCTCCCAAGGACATGAGTCCATTGCCTGCTGACCAAGGAGCAAGACACGAGGTTTTCAGAGTATTCCAGAAGTGAAGCGTGCTGTGTTGACTGAGAGGGAAAACCTCCCTATCTGTGTGGGAAGGTGGGAAGACGTCATTGAAAGTAAAATGGTACGAAAGACACAATTACAGTAGGAACATTTACTGAATAATTACTGGGCACCATCTCTGTTTCACAGATGAGGAAACTAGGGCCCAGAGAGATTAAGTGATTTGCCCAGGAACCCCAGCCCTACAATTAGTATGTAACTGCAAAATGGATCTTGACACCAAAGCCTAGACTCTTGATGCCTTCTCCGCCCCATCCTCCCCTTTGGGACATTGCACTGTTGCTGTTGGTGAATCCAGATGTGGTCGTTCAGCAG